GCGACCGTTAAACGGTCCCGCCGCCGCCCCGAGCCCCCGCGGGCTGTGCGGGGCCTTGCAGAGCGGGTGGCTCTGCGGCGGTTCCCTCCTCAGGGGCCTCAGGAGAGCGAAGCAGGAGCCAGGGGAGGGCGGGCGAGGGGCGCTCCAAGCCCTGTGATGGTGTGGCTCCTTACAGATGTAAGCTCTTCTGCCCCAGGCGTGATGGGTTCCTTTCTGTGTTCCGGTACTTGCTTCTTCCTCAGCCCTCCGGAGCCTGCCCAGGAGCTGCAGTCCCTTTGCTGGGGAGGTGGCGATGAAGGAGGCGCCTCCACGCTCCCATCCCAGCACGGACACYGTTCCAGGAGGCTCCCTGCCCGCGCCAAGTGCTGCTCACACAAACAGGCATGTGTATCGCTGCAGTGCGGGAGCCCTGTTAACTGTGGCAGCATTGGAACACGCTGGAATCMTGGAAGTGCCTCCTCGCACAAATCCCACAGAGTTGGTTAAAATATTGCAGAGCTGCTCTTGGAAAGGTGTCCGGGTTTGAGAATCAAGGGGCCTCCTTGGCAGATTTGCCAGCTCCTGTTCTGGCCTATGCTGAGACCCACTCTTTCCCCAGTGGATAACCTGATCTAAACATCTGGAGCTGTGCATACAGCTTTTAATGCAGAAAAACAAAATCCTGAGTTTATATCTAATTTGCTAGGCTCGCCCATTGCCTTACAGGACACCGGTTACATCTGCTGTGACTTAGTTCTGCTTGTAGGGCTTCTCGGGGACTTCCAGGCGCAAGCAGTTTTGCCAGGCGGCCTCTCCCGGGCCGGCCCRTGAGTGGGTCAGCGACCAGGAGCAACTGCAGCAACCGCAGGCGCTTCCAGCCCCGCTGTCCCGTCCCTCGTCCTGCCCCTCACCCCGGGGAGGGCTGTGCCCCATGGGTGGCACTGCCAGCGCTGGGTGAGCTGCACACGGAGCATCGGTGACTGCAGTGGCGGGCWGAGCCTACACGTCAGTGGCACTTCTGCGCTTTGGGGTAGAGAGCGGGGTTTCTGCCTCGCATCCAGCTGCATAATTCCAGGGAATTATATAGACAGGTATTTACTGGCTGGTGAAAATGGAGAAAACAATCTGGTTATGAGCAGTAATTATCTTAGATTAAAAAAGCAGCTGGTGGTAACAACACATTCCAGCAGAAGGAGACAGCTCTGCCGATCCTCCCGCTGCAGTTTTCCAATGTTGATAGAGTGGAAGGAAACATCCGGTGCTGCTGGGGAAGGGTGACAGAGGTGCCGTGGTGGGCGATGCAGCGTGGAGCTGAGATGGGCACAGGGAAGGACGCTGGGTACGGGCATGAACAGAGGCTCGTGCAGAGCAGCAAAGCGGGTTGGGAGATGCAGAACTCGGGGATGTGGGAAATGCTGGAGATGGGAAATGCGGAGCCGTGGGTTTGCACCCAGGAATCCATGAGGTGAGGGGCTGAAGGATGAGAGGGAGGAGGAACATGCAGAAGAAATAAATAAGAGGGCAGACAGAGAGAGGGGAGATGGGGAATAGCTCCAGGAATTCAAAGTGGCACAGAAGGCGGTGTGGTGGGAGAGCAGGACTGGGATAAAAGGGCCTGCAAGGAGGAGTGACACTGAGATTAGCAACGGGGCTGAAGGAGAGACATGGAAAAGGGAGCACGAGTAGCATATGAAGCTGCG